TCTCTCTCTCTCTCTCTCTCTCTTTCTGTGGCAACTTTGTCTCCCCGTGATCGCAAATCAGAGTTTCACCGAGAATTTCCACGACGCGCGACGCAAACGTGAAACGTAACGATGGATTTAAGTGTGGCGAGCCTATTTCATGGCGCGTATAGCGATTAGACGTTTGCGTTTCTTGAACTTACAATCAGTCAGATGAGTTTTAACGTTTCCGAAATTGATGGACACACCGATGAGAGGCAAGCATCTTTGCTCCGAAGATATCTCGGTTATATTAACTTCTTGATGACGCAATAAAAAATCTTTGAAGATGGAAGATAACTCGCTCTTCTCTGTCGAGGCATTTTACACTTCTAATATCCTTTCTTCATAGGAGTTAAATATTGACAGCCAGTTGTGAATGATTTTATGCTGTGAAATGCGAAATTTTATAATACTATAAACCAAGCATATCCAAGCAAAGTATTTGGTAACTTGCTCTTGTCTTTCTTAAATTATACGCGATACAGAAGAGCTAAATGTTAGAGGTGAAAAAGATAATACTGCGCTCTTAATAAGAAATAAATCTTTTTTTTTTTTTGAGAATTTTGTCTTGTTGCTTCAAATTTATTAAACGCGTCACTTATTAGCATGTAAACAGTGTCCACGTTTTCAAGTTTTAAAATAAACTTGAAAAAAAAGAGAAAGTCTGCAATTATTGGACACCAGTTCCTTTTGTTGCTCGAGCTCGGTAAAAATATTATTAGAATCTTATTAGCAATTTATTCTATTCTTTGTGAGCACATATCGTGTCGTATTACTGTCATTGTACAAATTTATATTTTAAAGAATTGAAATCTAAGCAGTAGTTTCTCGCATCTCTGAATAGATAATTGAAAGAATGAAATTATTGTCGGGCTGAAAATGAACGAGAAACGTACAAGCTTGAAATAAGTATGCCACGATAAGATACTTGTAACGTTTACCAAATTGATTGAAGTTTCGACAGAAAATGAGGCAAAATTTAATGTAATTCATTTCGTCACTGGTGTTTGAAGCCTGCGAACCGTGCAGCGCGACGCCGATGATTCGACAAAATTAAACGAGCATACAGATTACCACGACTATCACACCAGCCATGCTTTTTTTCTCGTTAAACGGACGAAAAAAAAAGAGCAAAAAAAAGAAACAAGTGAAATTCAAATACGTGGTGATAAATTCTTTTTTTCTTATTACACACACACACACACACACACACACACACACACATATATATCTAATGTGATATAGCTGGATAACATCAAGTTAATAAAAGCTGAGTATTAGCATACGAGGTGTCGATCCATTTGCATAAAATGCAGGAAAATTCCGCAGTACTTTGTTCAAACTTTAGACTCGTACCTGTTCGTCGTTCGTGAACGTCGTTTCTGCACAACTATTTGTAATTAACAAAATTAATACCGTGTAAACACATTCATTTTCTTTTAAAAGCCTTGGATGAAAAGACGGCACACATGTGTTGTCATTAGGTTCTCGTGAATGGTTCTTAGGATCTTTCAAATTTAGCGGATGGAATGGCTCACAGTAGCTCGTGGTAATATAATTATGTGCAAAGTAGAAATTCCATTATTCGTTTTCGTATCCATTGACAAAATTCGGTGTCAAATAACAGTAAAATGACTAACAAAAATTATAATGTTTACTGTCCATTAAATTAAACAAAAGACACAGTGCATTTCATTATTTAAGTAATGCTCGATCCATTCTTATTTTCTACTACTTCAAGCGTCCGTTTTGGCAACGAATTATATGATTTTCGAATATACTATTCCATCATTCTTTAATACTAAAACTTTTTACCAGAATGGTAAAAATTCATAACATTCGTAATTTTAGATAGACACTGTAAGACAGTGCATTTCAAATGACATTTTTCGTAAAATGTGTAAAAAATATATATACAAAGTGCACTGTTTATTATAAAGTTTTTCTATCTTTTTTCTTTTCACTTTGATGCATCTGATGTTCTGAAATTTTACGCTTCAATCATCGGTAGTGTAAACGTTCCAATTCACAGATCTCTTGTAACTGCATATTTTCTTTGCCGCTTCCACGAGTTTATCGCAATAATTCTCAATATTTAGCGATTAAAACTGTATAAAAACTATCAGAGAGATTAGAATGCAAAGAATAAAAAAAAGAAAAAAAAAGAACGATAAAGAATTCAGACTGTTCATCTCGTTTTGCAAAGATCATTCAAATTTCTAAGAACGCAACGTTGCAAATCTGTTTCGATCACTTTTCACCGTAGTTCTAGTGTCACGTTGAACTATTGAACATATCCAATGAAAGCACGATATAAAATAATAATTGTAAAGTAGAGAAAATAATTCTCTTACGATGTTAGCGATGTGTGAACTGTAGCGTTGTTATGCCAGAAGAGAATAAAATTGTCAGTGGCAATATGTGTTGCACACTTGCCAATTTGATCTTGAATCAAATTACGATAGATGGTAGCGTTCGTTCGTTCGTTCGTTAACGACTATTAAATCTGTTTCCCCATTATATCCGATACCTGGACAACAGCGTAATGCTACCTTCACCAATTTCACGTCGTGCTTGTGCCATTTCTCCTCTTTCTTACATGACATGATAATAAAAACTGAATCCAAGGTAAATCGCTTTTCATCTGTGAATATTACTCGCCTGCATTTCTTGTGTCTCAGCGTATTACTATATTTCGCCTAATCTTTGTGATTCTTCGTTAAGTTTCGTGTATTTAATACTCGTGGGTATCGGAATTATTTTAGATTTCCCACTACCTTTCTTCCGTATCGTAATTGCTCACATTTTCCAACAAATTATTATATATCATTCTCCGGCCGATTGTCGATGAACTTTGACGAATTTTCGAAATTGGAAAGTTTCGCTTCTCTTCGACTCAGCTTGAAGCTTTTCCCTGGGTACCATTTTCGTAACGGATATCTGCAATATTCCAAATAACGACACTTTATTTGTACAAATGTTACAAGTAAGAAGGTATTCAAAAATATTGTGGAAAAGCTTTGCGTGCCATCATTTCGTCGACTATATTATTTCACAACTATCGATAAATACGAAGAATTTCGAAGCTATGGTTTCGAAGTCACGCAGCTGCTCATGCTAATATTCGGACTTTTTAACTATCGGGGGAATTCAATTCAAGAAATTG